TGAATCTTTACTTTTTCTGTATTCAAGAAAGAGAAAAGAAACGAAAAAGAGAAAAGAGATTAAAATGAGAGAAAAAAGGAAATCGTTTGAAAATTTGAAAGAGTGAATACACTGTAGTAGACTAAAATAAAATGATGGAAGGCAATAGAATTTGAAAAAATTTACATAAAAGCAAAAAATATAGTAAAAAATTTCAAGAAAAATATTTTAATAGAAATTGAAAGTAAAAATAAAGTTTTTCTCTTTCTGCATTCAAGAAAAAGAAAAGAAACAAAAAAGAGAAAAAAGAAAAAGAAAGAAAAAAGATCATTTAAAAATTTGAAAAGGTGAATACAGTGAAGTGGACTAAAATGAAATGATGGAAGTAAAATAGAATTGAAAAAGTTTACACGAAAGTAAAAAATATAGTAATAAAAATGAAAGAAAAATATTTTTAATAAAAATGAGTTTTTTCTCTTTCTGTATTCAAGAAAAAGAAAAGAAGTGTCAAAGAGAAAAAAAAAGAGCAAAAGAAAATTGGATAGATGGACCTGCTAACAGATTGAAGTAGCACTGAAATTATTTCATTTTCCCCTAGAAGTCCGTCTGTGTAGCGCTTTATACTCCATAAACCAAGTCGGCCTTGAGACTTGTGTGTTTTGTTTTGTTTTTTTTTTTTTAGAAATTTTATTTTATTTTATTTTTTTAATATATGAAATTTATTGTCAAATTAGTTTCCATACAACACCCAGTGCTCATCCCAAAAGGTGCCCTCCTCAATACCCATCACCCACCCTCCCCTCCCTCCCACCCCCCATCAACCCTCAGTTTGTTCTCAGTTTTTAACAGTCTCTTATGCTTTGGCTCTCTCCCACTCTAACCTCTTTTTTTTTTTTTTTCCTTCCCCTCCCCCATGGGGAGACTTGTGTTCTTGAGAGCAAGTTGGCCCAGTTGGGCAGGGCTCAGTGTAATGTTTGTGTTCTCCACTAGATGGCACTGCTAGCCTACTGGGGTGGATTGTTGCTGCGCTTGTAGGTGCGTATGTGCATGTGCGGGAGCAATGAAAATGGCTCCCCCCAGCTGCACAGTCTGTTCTCCTGAATCAGCAATCACGCATCTGTTTTCTGTCTTCAGCTTTCATCCACTCCCTGCTTTTTCATTCTCCGTGACCAGGCCCCAGGCAGTATCTCTCTCCCAAGTTTTTTCTCAGTTGCAGCTGTTTTTCCTGGCCCCTTACTTCTGAAGGACTGCGGCTTTGCCTTGTTCTGCCCTTCTGCGGGAGGATCTCACCGAGCATTGGCTGGATGAGCAATGGCCGAATATTGGCTGCACCCAGGAATGCTTGCTGGACCCTGTTACTGCCAGTGCCCTGAGACTATGGCCAGATGTCAGCCCGCCCCAGAAGAAGTTGGCGAGATAGTGTAGCAGCAGCGTTTCAGGGATTATGGAAAATCACAACACACATCTGGCACCAGGCTTCACCCTTAATGACCTTGTTCCAGCACCAGCGAATGTGGCCATTCTCTGGGGTCTGCTGGGACCAGGTGGCTTCAACAGTCTCTACCAAATGTACTTCCAGCAGTGCAACCACTTTTCCAGACCCCACTCTGCTCCTGGGGATTTGCCCTTCCCACCAGAGCACCGCCAGTATTGAGCTGCGGAGTTGCAGACTTTGCGCTCCCCTTGTTTACAGTCTTAATGGAATTTAAACCCTCTCCTTTCTCCTTTCTCCCTTTTTAGTTTAGTCGCTGCAGCTGTTTCCAATTTTCCACTTTCTCTCCAGCTGCTTTTGGGGAGGGGTGCTTTTCCCATATTCTACCCCCCCATCTCTGTCCTGTCTCCTCTCACAAAAGCACCTCCCTTCCTGCACCTCCTCGCTCCCCAAGTTCACTTCTCCGCGCCGCATACCTGCTGAATTCTGTGGTTCAGGTTGTGCAGATTGTTGTGTTGATCCTGCAGTCAGTTTTCTAGGTGGGTAGGATGGTTTAGTGTTGGTCTGGCTGTATTTCATGGACGTGAGACACACAAAAAACTCTGAAATTCTTGAAGAATTAAGGAGAAGTACCTGATCACAGACTCATTTACATATTCCTAACCAAGGGAGCAGAAACCTGCCAAAAGGGGTGAATCCTGAATCATGAAAACCTCCTGATAAGTCCTTTCTAACTCATGATGCAAATTTAGTAGAGCTGATCAATGAGATATCTTAATTTTGTTTGCAAAAACTTAGAGGCATGGTTAGATTTCTTTCATAGCCTGAAACAAAAGGTTGCTTCAGATTCCATAGGTTACCCACTCTCCCTTAGCAGTGACCTGGGAGATACAGATAAGGGTGTTATCTTTCTGGACCAATGCCAGAGTAAAGGAAAGGAAAAGAAGGAGAAAGTGTTTTATGTTTAGTTAAAGTATGAAGTCTTGACTCATTGTCTTGCATGGAAGCAGTCTGCCATGAAGTTAGCTACTTTATCTTCCTCATCAATCTGATTGAGAAGTCTGTAGCATCTGTGTGGGACTTCTTGGGTATGTGATGTGTGCCCAAGGCTCAGTACCTTCTGTTTTTGCAGCAGTGTCTGTCATCAGGAACACTTGATATGGTCCCTTTCAATAAGGTTCAAAGATTTTTCTCTGATGACATTTCCAGGATACCCAATCACTGTGGGGAATAACCTTAGGAATTCCCTGAGCTTGCACTAATGGATTAACAAGGCATAAAGAATTCGAAAGCCACAGGATGAACACACCCAAGTTTGGGTAAACAAGATTAGATAAACAGGGCAAAGGCCCTCGGCATAGGACAATGGTATAGGAATAGAAACACCTCAGAATGAAAGCATCAAAAATGAGGTAAACAAGATTAGGTATTCAGGGCAGAAACGCTCCACCCCCCCCAACTTAGTACAATAACAGAAAGCTGCTTTCACAGTATGGAAGGACAAAAACAGGAAAACAGGACTTTAGACCACAGCAAGGTGAAGTTGCCCAGAGCAGAGCTAATTAGCAAAAGAAAGGCAATTAGCCTCTGAAGTAGAATGCTCTTTCTTGTCCCCTAGACTAGTTTAGGTAAACAGGGGTGATGCCTCATGTTTGCGGTAAATAACCTTCCACCAAGCACCAGAATTTTGTTTTGTATCGACCCAAACCCCTAACACCACATGTCTCCAAAACCCCCCTTCCCCCCGCCCATGAGTTAATGTTCATGTTTCATTGTCTCTTTGTGCACGCCCATCACGCTTGTAAGACTTCTGATCTTAATAAAAATGGAGCAAGGACCCTTAGTCGGGGCTCTTGTCTCCTCCCGGACACTAGCCCCTCTCGCATTTTAATCCTGCATCCGCTCTTTTGCTGGACAAGAGACAAATTCAGACCCAGAGTCTGTGACAAATCACCAGACTCTAGACTTGACCAACAGGATCTTTGAACTGGAATCAGGATGGCTTCTTTATCCTGTTGACGATAGGCTTTAACATAAGACTTTAGGGACTTACTGGTCATATATTAGTATGAGATAAGGGATCAGCAGAAAGTTGTATACCAGTACACATTGATTTGCTAGTGACTGTCTCTTGTGGAGTTAATGTTTCACAAAGGGAGTACTATGAATAGTCACCGAGGCCAGAGGCAACACCTTAGACAAAGGGAGCCTAGTAGTTTCATCACATTTAGAGATAAATTTGAGGAGCCCATTAGTTCTTTCAATCTTTTCTGTTAAAAGAAATTTGCAAAGCTTTCATTAAAGCTTGTACAATTTGCCCAGTGAAGAAGGTGCCTCAATCCTTGGAGATTATAGAAGGTATGCCCTAGGTGGGAAATCTGTTTTCTAACAGTTCCTTTGCAACTTTGAGGGCATCAAGCTTGCAGCAGGGAAATGCTTCAACGCACCCAGAAGACATAAAAACAATAAGAAGAACATACTGATCATCCATAATAGGTGCCAATTGAATGAAATTCAGCTGTGGGTATTCAGAGGATCCAGGGGAAAGCCTCTGGGAACAAAACCAGTTTTTCAAGGATTATGGACCTGACAATTCAGATATTGCTGGTAGACTGCTTTTGCAATATTATAGAAGTCTCCCCACCACTGCCTACTTATAATTTGAGTTATCTTAAATGCCCTGTTGTGGTTGAAGGAATGTAAAAACCAAAAAAATTGGGTTTGCCAGGGAGCCAGAAAGAATAAAACAGGTGTTTGGTTTTCTAATAGCCATGACTATTAGTTTAATTTCCAGTCATTGTTTATCCACTTTAATGTGTCTGATTCAGGAGCCAACTATTGTCATGCTACAAGGACATCAGGGTTAAACTCTGTTAATGAGGAGTCATGTTTTGCAGAAGAGGAATGGACTTTATCCACATGTGCCATAGTCTTGTAAATACATTAAAAAAAAATTACTTTAACAAATCCTTTGGAATATCCCAGGTCAAAAAAACTTCATATAGAATTTGATTTTTGGAAGTTTGTCAAAAATATCAAAACAGGTTTTAATATTTTTTTTTTTGACGTTTAATCATCTTTGAGAGATGGAGGCAGAGCATCAGTGGAGAGGGGCAGAGAGAGAGGGAGACACAGAATCAGATGCAGGCTCCAGGCTCTGAGCTGGCACCACAAAGCCAGACTTGGGGTTTGAACTCATGAACCGCGAGATCATGATCTGAGCCAAAATAGGATGCTTAACTGACTGAGCCACCCAGGTGCCCCTCAAAATGGGTTTTAAAGCACTTGTCTAAATAGGATCACAGATTATTATGAAATTTAATATTTAAAGGATAAAGAAACTTTTATAAAATTTTATAATTATATAATCTTATTAGGATTGGTAAAGAAATAAGTAGAATTGCTTTCAGAGTTGTATTTCTAGTTTTCTAGTAAATATTCATAAGATAAGGAAAGTTGCTTTCAATTTTTTCAAACAATGGTTGTAACTTAAATGGCATCATGGGCTGATCCACCTATTCAACTATAGTATCCTCAACCTGCCTCTTTCCCTCTGGGTCATAGTTTTAATTTTAAATATTTCTGGCAGTATCGACTAACCCCCGTTGGGTATAAGAAGAGTCTCCAGAGGGCGTGAAGGACATTGCCATCCCCAAATCCAGAGTCATTTCCAATGGCAGCCAAAAGAAAGAACCAACAACCTGGACGTTCCGAGCAGGAAGAAAGCCAAGCTCAGTTCCACAAAACAAGTGAGAAGACAAGTGAGAAAACAATATCTATCTCGGGGAGAGAAAAGGTAAATAACCAATGGGTCTTGATGTGGAAAAGAAGAGACAATAGGAATTGTCAAGTGTCAACTGTCAATTTTATTTTCCTCTCTTTGATGGTGTTTTGGGAGCGATCATGGGGTTCTTGATATCTTTGGTGCAGAAAGGTGATTTTATTAAAGCACAGGGACAGGACCTGTGGACAGAAAAAGCTACACTGGGGTTGTGAGGAGTGACTGATTATATACTGTGGATTTGGGGAGGTAAAGGCAAAAGGGAGGCCTCCAGAAGAACTTTGATATACTAAAGAGGACTCCTAAGATACCTGAGGCCTTGCTATTGTCAAGGTAAGGTTGTTTTTCAAGTAAGGCATTAACATTAGGACAGGAGGAAGTTCCCGGAGAAGTGTTAAACTCTGTATTTGCCTCAAGTATTTGTCAATGGGCTGCAGGTTATAAGGATATTTAATTTCACCTGCCATTTCCTTCTTGCCTTTGTTCCCCACACCACTATGGAGAGGAGGGTGGTATTAGATGTTCCAGGAAACTGAGTCTACAAGTTTCTGGAGATGAGGCTATTGATAAGATTGCCTTTTTCTTGTAATTTAATAAGATACTTGTAAACTGATGGACACTCAGGTCCTGCAGGACTGTGATCTCTGTCAGTTAACCATTTGTTTTCTTTCCTTTCCTTTGTTCTTAGGCAGCCAGGCATGCCTGAGGGATAACCCACTGGGGGGTCGGGGGAACATGCTAGCTTGTACTTTGCCTTCAGCTTGCTTTATGCTCCCTCCTCATCTTTACTGGGCACTACAGATAGAGATTCAGAAGAAACTGTTAAGAACTATCACACTTTGCTGGCTGCCAGTTTTTCCAGGCTATATTCTGCCTTCTCTGGCATTTACCAGTCTGTTTAAGGGAGTTAAACCAGACTGTTTAAGTGAATAAAATCGCAGTTTACCAGAAAATCTCTGTTTCTTCAACTCTGGGAGGGGCCCAGATCGGGGCCCCCCTTTGAAGGTAGATATGAGGTTGTCTGAGAGACCATTAATGTGGTGGGGGCTTTTAGTTACAGTTGTGTAGTCTTTTCAGAGTGGAAAACAATTCAGGAGAATTGGCAGAATGAACACTCAGAGGAGAAAAGAGAACAGTAGGAGTTCCATCCGTCTCGCAGTCTTTTGTTTTAGGTACCTCTTAAGATCTTTAATTTTTTATTTGCCTTTTGCAGTGAATCTTTCAGTGAAACTGCTTTGGGAATTTTGAGTCCTTTTTAGGCTTCTGCTTGCCAACTAAAACATGTATCACATTTTGTTTAATTTGGGAACTCTTGCTTTCAAGTGAACTTCTTAAATCATCTTATCTAATTGGACCATTCCCTGCAATGGCCATTGTATTTCTGGGTTGCAGTTCCCCTGAGAGCTGGCAGCAGTTTGGTCGTGATGTTGTGGTGGGGTCTCCTTGTTATGCCCAGAATTCGTGATCCCCAAAGACCACCAGGGAGCCGAGTCCGATGCAAAAGCAAAAGAGCCTTTATTTGAGCTAGCTCGAGCTCAGTCCCCTACCTGCACTGACGCAGCAGTGAGATGCCGGTGAGAGAGAGTGAGTTTCAAAAGCACAAAGGTTTTATAGGGGTCTAGGGGCAGTTGGTGAGGTAATGGCTGTGGCCTCAGCCAATTGGCTGGGGAAGGGTTGTGGCCTCGGCTGATTGGCTGGGGAAGGGTCGGAGTCCTGTTAGGCAGGTCGCTGGGTGTGTTTTGATTGGGAAGTTTGAATGGGTGAGCGGGAGGTTACTCAAGGGGAGGAGGCGTGGTCTGAGGTTTCTGCGATTTTCCGGAAAGGGGCTATGTCAGGGATATAATGTCACTCAAGGTGGAGGACATGTATGTCTGCTCTTTCACCCTCTCTAAGGAAAGAGAGAAAAAAAAAAAAAAACACCTCAAGGCAACCTTGCTATTCACTTACTTGACAACATCCCTCATGACCTTGTAACATGAGAACACTTCATCAGACTGCGGGTTTGTGTGTTACCATATATGGGAGACAAAGAAGAAAACAATATATAAAATACTACGCCACGTGGCATTCAGGGCTCAGTTCTTTGGGTACGAACCCAACTTAGCGGTGCCAGCAGAAATAAAGTTCCTTCCTGGAAAGAAAAGTCTCGGTGTCAAGACTCTGTGTGAGAATCCTGTTACGATGTGGGAAACAAAGGCAGAAAAAAAAAATAGAAGATAAAATTAAGTTTCCTTATAACCTGCAGCCCCTTGACAAATACTTGAAGCAGGCAGAGTAAAATATTTCTCCAGGAACATTCTACTGTCTTAATGTTAATGCTTTCTAGAGGGAAAAACAACCTTAGGTTGACAATAGCTAGACCTCCAGTATCCTGTGAGTCTTCTTTAGCTATGAAAATCGCTTTGGAAACTTCCCCTTGACTTTACCTCCCCCACCTCCCAAGAATATAATCAGTCTCTCCTCATGGTCCCAGGTCAGCTTTTCCTGCCTGTGAATCCTGTCCCTGTGCTTTAATAAAATCACCTTTCTTTTTTTGCACCAAAGACATCTTAAGAATTCTTTTTTGGCCGTCAGTTCCAGCCCCCACCACCACTCCAAAACCCCACCTGTAGGAACCCAGCTGAACTAACCCACATTTTTGTGTAGCTATGATGTAGTTTTGTAGTGATGGTGGGGTCTGGAGTCAATAGCCAAGAAAGAATTCTTGAGACACCTTTGGTGCAAAAAGTAGATTTTATTAAAGCATGGGGACAGGACTCATGGACAGAAAAAGCTACACTGGGGTTGTGAGGAGTGACAGATCATATACTACGGGATTGGGAGGTGGGTTAGGAAAAGGGAGGTTTCCAGTAGGATTTTCCTATGATGAAGACTCATAAGATACTAGAGGTCTAGCTATTGCTGAGCTGAAGTTATTTTTCCCTCCAGTAAGGCATTAAGAGAAGACAGTCGGGAGTTTCTTGGAGGAATGTTTTACTCTGCCTATCTCAAGTATTTGTCAGTGAGCTGCAGGTTTTAAAGAAATTTATTTTCGTCTACATTTTCTTCTTGCCTTTGTTCCCCACATCACTGTGGAGGGGAGGGTGATGTTAAGGGCTGAAGGAAATTAAGTCTATTGTTTTCTAGAGATTAAGCTATTGATAAGACTGCCTTTTCCTTATAATTCACTAAGGCTTTTGCAAAGTAATGGAGATTCATGTCCTTCATGACTGTGATCTCTATTGGTTAACCATTTGTTTTTCCCTCTCTTTTGTTCTTGGGCAGAGGAATGTCACACATAGCCCACCTGAGGGGAGAGTGGGTCAAAGGATGTTAGCGTGGGCTTTGCCTTCAGCTTGCCTTTGGCTCCTTCATCAGCTATATCTAGCTGCAAATGGGATGCAACTAACATTTCTATCTAGCTGTATTTTGGGACCCTTAACCTGACAGACACCAAGCCAAATTCCTCAAGACACAAAATAAGCTTAGTAAAATTTTGTCATTTTGTTAGATATTTGCAACTTCTAGGACTACAGTTCTTAGACATAAAATAAGCAGATGTGCTAGAAAGTAACACACTTGACTCTTTAGAATTTAAGGATCCTGTTAGCTAAAGCCTTTGGATTTACAGGAGCCACACTAATACCTAAAAAGGGACATGTTGTAAGGTTGGGATTATGCATGTTTTACACTGTACCTCATTACACAAAAGGTTTTTTGTGGTTGGCAGGTGATCTAGTGTCAATCTAACCCATTCAGTGACCAACTTATCCTATCACAGAGTCTTCTTAAGGCAGCAAGCATTCTAACAGCCTTTAAATGTTCAACCTGTGCCCACAAATTTTTGTGGCTTGTTGGTTTCCAAGGTCCCTACTGGCAATAGTCTTTATCCACACAACACAAGACAAACATGTGTACCTTAATTATTGCCTCCTGCCTCTCAATTCTGTAGTACATGAGAGGTGACTGCGTCCTGGCCACAAGAAGGCCCTGTGCATAGCATTGACAATTCCTGTGGAAACTTCCTGAGGTTTTCCACCTGGGAAATTGTGGCCTGAATAGCAAGGGACTTGGTTCTGTGCAGACCCGTGTGCCAGCACAGTTGGGCTCCAGGTGTAATCATCTGCCAGCTCAAGGGGACCTGCCCTGTAATGGAAAGCCAATTAGATTGGGGTGGTGAGTGCAAAAAAGAGTAGAACTCAGAACTGAGGGGCATTTATCCACAGCCCTCGGAAACACAAGAAAGACAGTGAACTCAGCAGATTTGCAAGTAGCAAGCCTGTGTTTTTTGTTGCTTCCAAATGCTGCTGGAAGTTCCCTTCAAATCCCACCACTACCCCAAGTCTGTCAAATAACAAAAATTCAATCAAGTAAATTTTAAATCATGCAGTATCACATCTAGCAAGTAGAGGAGAGCTTCAAAAGACTATGAAAAAAAAGAAAAGTTTTTAAAGATAGGGAGCGGAAAAAAGGAAATTACTAGCAAAAAATCTATTATTTTAGGTAAGATCATTCCCCTAAGGGGAACAGAAGGGGCCTAACAGTAAATTTGATAGTGCTGACCAGAAAATTGCATGTTGACTGGTTGAAAGTTACATTTCTGGGGTGTTGAAACCACAGTTAAGTTAGGTATTAAGTCTTAATTTACTGATTTGGACCCTTAACCTAAATGACACCATTTTGAGCTTGTGGCTTTATTTTTAAAGTAGGATAAACTAGAAACTAACAAAAGGGATTCCTAGTGGAGATGGATGGGGATCAGAGTGGAAAGAAGAGTGCTGTATATAGATAGAATTATTGGAAGAGTGTGAACCTCCTCATAATATACATTTGTACAGTTCTTTTTAAAAAAATTTTTTTAACGTTTATTTATTATTGAGAGACAGAGACAGAGCATGAGCAGGGGAGGGGCCGAGAGATGGGGAGACACAATGTGAAGCAGGCTCCAGGCTCCGAGCTGTCAGCATAGAGCCTGACGTGGGGCTCGAACTCACAAACTGTGAGATCATGACCTGAGCCAAAGTTGAACGCTCAACCGACTGAGCCACCCAGGTGCCCCCATTTTGTACAGTTCTAACTGATTGGAAACATATTACTCCCTCATAGACTTAAAAATAAATCAACAAAGATGAGAAAATAACCCTAAAATACAGACAGCAACAAATACAATTAACTGTATTTCTAATTAATGATATGAGCATGCTGAAAAGAAATACAATTAATCTGATTAACTTTTAAATACAGTTATTTTGAGTTTATACTCTCAGGCTAATGATGAGGAGAGGTATAAAGATTTATTAAACTACAGCTAATGTTTTTGTTTATTAGTGGTATGGGTGAGCAATTCTGAACCTAGTTTTTGTGTTTTGTCTTTCTATTATAACATTGAATGATAAGTAAACATATTCTGGATAATTTAGCCAAGTCATTTCATGAACATGTTTTCATATTTGGAGTAAATACCTAATGGTGATATTGATGGATCAGATGATAGGCATATATCCAATTTTTAAATTTATTTATTTTTATTTTATTTTATTTTTTTAATTTTATTTTTAATTTTTTAAAATTTACATCCAAATTAGTTAGCATATAGTACAACAATGATTTCAGGAGTAGATTCTTTAGTGCCCCTTACCCGTTTATCCCATCCCCCCTCCCACAACCCCTCCAGTAACCCATATTTATGGGTTTGTTCTCCACATTTATGTCTCTTCTGTTTTGTCCCCCTCCCTGTATTTATATTGTTTTTGTTTCCCTTCCCTTATGTTCATCTGTTTTTGTCTCTTAAAGTCCTCATATGAGTGAAGTCATATGATTTTTGTCTTTCTCTGACTAATTTCACTTAGCATAATACCCTCCAGTTCCATCCACATAGTTGCAAATGGCAAGATTTCATTCTTTTTGATTGCCAAGTAAGACTCCATTGTACATATATACCACATCTTCTTTATCTATTCATCCATCGATGGACATTTGGGCTCTTTCCATACTTTGGCTATTGTTGATCGTGCTGCTATAAACATGGGGGTGCATGTGTCCCTTCGAAACAGCACACCTGTATCCCTTGGATAAATGCCTAGTAGTGCAATTGCTGGGTTGTAGGGTAATTCTATTTTTAGTTTTTTGATGAACCTCCATGCTGTTTTCCAGAGTGGCTGCACCAGCTTGCATTCCCAGGCATATATTCAATTTTTAAAGAAACTACCAGATATTGTGCAAAGTGCTTGTATCATTTATATACATTCCTATCATCAATGTATGGAAATTCTCATTGCCTCATAGTCTCTCAACATTTGGTGCTGTCGCTCTTTTTAATTCCATGTACTGGTGGGTGGATAGTGGCATCTCATTATGGTAGTGTGTGGTTTTAATTTGCATCGTACTAAACACTTTTTTTTTTTTAATGGATACATACACTCCTATGTTTATAGCAGTGTTACTTATAACAGCATTATTTACATTATTTACCAAGAAATGGAAGCAGCCCAAGCATCTATCAATTGATGAATGGATAAAGAAGATTCCACAGTAGACTATTACTCAGCCATAAAAAAGAATAAAATCTTGCCATTGACAATGACATGAATGGAGCTAGAGGGTATAATGTTAGGTGAAATGACAGAGAAAGTCAAATACCATGTGACCTCACTCACATGTGGAATTTAAGAAACAAAACAAATGATCAAAGAAAGAGACAAACCAAGAAACAAACTCTTAATTATAGAGAACAAACTGATGGTTACCGGAGGGGCAGGGTGTGGAGGGATGTGTGAAACAGGTGATGGGGATTAGGGAGTGCACTTGGCATGATGAGCACCAGGTGATGTATGGAAGTGTTGAATCATTATATTGTACACTTGAAACTAATATAACATGTATGTTAGCTACCTGGGATTAAAATAAAAACTAAAGAAACCCCTCACTTTTTAAATGTGTTTATTGACCATTTGTGTGCATAACATGTTTTTTGTTACATGTATTCTTTGGCGGTGCATGTTTTTCATGTCATGTTAACTTATATTGCATTTAATTTCATTTTTAAATTACCTGTTGGTAGAACATAAAAATTTCATTAGTTTTGTATAATGATAATGTGTCTAATGTTCTTTCCAAGTGTCCATGAAGACACTACTTTCAAATAAGGTCACAATCATTACCAAGGATTAGGACTTTAACATATCTTTTTTGGGGACATAACTCAATCCATAACAGATATTCATGTGCAAAAAAGTTAAACTTGACTCAAACTCTACACCTTACAAAAATCTAATTCAAAATAGGTTATAGATCTGAATATAAAATATTAAATGGTTAAACTTTTTAAAAAAAATTTTTTTTTAACGTTTATTTATTTTTGAGACAGAGAGAGACAGAGCATGAATGGGGGAGGGGCAGAGAGAGGGAGACACAGTATCTGAAACTGGCTCCAGGCTCTGAACCATCAGCCCAGAGCCCGACGCGGGGCTCGAACTCACGGACCGCGAGATCGTGACCTGAGCTGAAGTGGGACGCTTAACCGACTGAGCCACCCAGGCGCCCCTAAATGGTTAAACTTTAAAAAAAATTATAGGATAAAATCTTTGATTAGAAAAAAAGTTTTTGAACCACCACAAAAAGCATGATCCATAAAACTGAACTTAAAAACTTTTCTCTGTAAAATATAATGTTAAGAGAATGAAAAGACAAGCTTCAGGCTGATGAAAAAATAATTGCAAATTATGTATGCAACAAAGGACTTGTATCTAGAATGTATAAAGAAGTCTTAAAACTCAACAATGAGAAATGAACATGCTTCTCAAATGGGCTACTTCCAGAAACAGATCCACACATACATAGTCAACTGAACTTTGACAAAGGTGTAAAGGCATTTCAATGAAGAAAGGAGAGTCTTCTCAACAAACGGTGCTGGAACAACTGGACACCTATATACAAAAAAATGAATCTACATATAGACGTTACATTTTTAATAAAACGAATGAAAAAAGGTCCAGCATCATATGTCATTATGGAATTCCAAATTAAAACACAGGTGAGATACCATGGTACACCTATCAGAATGGCTGGAAGCCAAAACTGAATACTGTCAAGGATATGAAGCAACGGGAGCTCTAATTCTTTGCTGAGAGTCTCGCACTGGGATCTCCCAATCATACTCCTACTCATATTTACCCAAATGAGTTGAAAACTTATGTCCACAAAATGACCTGCACTTGAGTAGTTATATCAGCCTTGTTCATAATTGCCTTAAGTTGGCAGGATCCAGAATGTCCTTCACCAAGAGGATAGATACACACACTAAGTGTGGTATATTTTTATGATGAAATGTTATTGAGCACTAAGAAGAAATGTGCTATCAGGCCACAAAAAGACATGGAGAAACCTTACATGCATTTTTTTCTGAGCGAAAGAAGCCAGTCTAAAAAAGCGACAGATCTGTACGACTTCAAGTATGTGACATTCCGGAAAAGGCAAAACTATAAGAATGGTAAAAAGATCAGGAGTTGTCAGAAGTCAGAAGAAGGAGAAGAAGAGTGGATGGGTGGAGCACCGGTCATATTTAGGAGTGCAAAACTATTTTGTATGATACTGTAATGATGGATACATGACATTACCCATTTGTCAAAACCCCCATAGAAGGTACAACTCAAAGAGCGGGCCTAATTGGTTCATCAATTTGCATTTAATTTCATTTTTAAATTACCTGTTGGTAGAACATAAAAATTTCATTAGTTTTGTATAATGATAATGTACCTAATGTTCTTTCCAAGTGTCCATGAAGGCACTACTTTCTTTTTTTTTTTTTTTTTAAATTTTTTAATGTTTATTTTATTTCTTTTTTTTTTTTTTTATTTATATATGAAATTTATTGTCAAATTGGTTTCCATACAACACCCAGGAAGGCACTACTTTCAAATAAGGTCACATTCATTTGTAATATCAATTGTAACATCAATTGTAACAAATTCACCACTTCAAGATATTACTAGGTGAAACTGTGTACATGTAAACTTTTTGTGTTTTCTGCACAGTATTTTGGTAAGTCTAAAACTGCTCTCCGAATAATATCTATTGAAATGTTTAGAAAATAAACTATAGATTTGAAGACACTTCATCTAGAAGATACCTAAATGGTAAATAAATGCATGAAAAGATGTTGCACATCATTACCCATTAGAAAAATTGAAGTTAAAACTTAGTGAAATACCACTATATAATTATTATCATAAATAAGAATAAGTAATAAAATAAAATGAAAGTACCAGATGCTGGTAATGATGTGGAGCAGCTGGAGCTCTCATACATTTCTAGTGGGACTTCACAGTGGTAAAGCTCCTCTGGGAAGAGTTTGGCAGTTTTATACAAGGTTGAAACTACTCTTACCAGATGACCTAGTAATTCCATTTTTAGCTATTTGCCATAAAAAAGTGAAAAATGTTTGCACAAAAAAGCATACATGAGTGTTTATAGCAGCTTTGTTTATAACAACCCTAACCTGGAAACAGCATAAGTGGTATTCAGTGGGTGAACAAAGATTGTGATGCGTTTATTCAATAGAATACTACCTCAGCAAATATTAGGAATGAAGTACTAATGCCTATTAATATGGATGAATAACCAAAAGCCTCATTCTGAATGAAAAGCCAATCTCAAAAGATAACATACTATATGATTTTATTTTTGTGACATCCTGGAAAATACAAAAGTATAGGGACAGAAACCTGATTAATTTTTTCCAGGTTGGGTATTTATGAAAGGTTTGACTACAAAAAGACAACATAAAAGCACTTACGGAGATAATGGAACTTATGTCATTGTCTTATCTCCTGAATGTAGTGTGGCCACATGAGTCTATAAAAAGTCAGTTTTACTGCATATAAGTTAAGAAAATGTCCTCTAAAAAATATAAATGGTGGTAAGTAAAGGCAAGAATGAATCAATCTCTCATAAGGGAATGGAGAGGATAAAAAGTATAAGGATGAAGTTCATGCAAAAAGAAGGATAAGTTGAAGGAAAAACTAGAAAATATTTGCTTCCCTGTGAATGTCTTACTGATTAGACAAATGAGAACACTTCAATTATTCATGTATTTGAAACTAACTTTATTTTTTTGCATATCACTTTATAAACATAGTACAAAACCAAAAGGTACAAAAGAGTGTAAAATAAAAGGCTATTCTCCTATCCCTGCCTTTGTCAGATATGAAAGAAATTTCAACATTGTATGGGCAATCACACAGACTAGTTCCTTGTGTATATTTATAGTAATAATGGTAATAATGTGATTATATAATGTGAGTATATAATGTGTTTAATAATGTGATTATATGAGTGTGTATATATATGGTATATACATATATATCTATATGAATATGATTATATTATATGAATGTATGTATATGTGTATATATATATATTTTTTTTCTTTAAACATAGCATAAGTAACATACTTTAACACGCCGTCCCATGCCTTTGGGAAGTCATTTATGAAGGAGATAAAATGTTAGGGAGAACCAGAAAGAAGATTAAAAAAAATAATTTGCTTTTGGTATAGGAGAATTCATGTCATGACCTCATGCTTCAATCTACACTGACCTGCAGGTCGTAGGATGCTCCTAATACAGGAGAGGGACCACAGTAAGGATTATGCATTGGGCACTGGACAGATGGTCAAACTTTTTGAATAACCAAGCCAAAGCCTGAAAAAAGGCCTTAGAGACACATTAAAAGGACCTTGAGAGAAGGTGTAAATGTGGGATTTATCCATCATATTGTAGAATGAGATACATCCACCTTCATAGTCTAAGAAAATACACACTCTGGTAGGGTGCTCTTTTAGAGTAAGCTGCATTTCTGGAGAAGTGAGTACCCAGTACTCATCCTTGTAAGACCTGATGGCCCAGAAACCATTCTCAGGTTTCACACAAATCTTCCCCTGCCTCATTACATTAGACCTGCATATTCCCAGGTCCCAGGCTCCACTGTCTCTGACATCTACTTCCCAGTACCACCTCCCTGAGGTGAACACTGAGTGACCCAGAACACAGGGAAGGGAATTCAATCTCTGTGGATCTTTAGGTAGATCTTGAGATTTCTCTCCACAGGTTACACATTTGTTGCCTTCAGACAAGACGAGGGCAGCATGGGCTGTGGCTGGATCCAGAATAACATTCACTGCAAAGACAATAATATTCTCTGAAAGACAGAATATTCTTGGAAAAGGTAGAATGATCCTGGAAGCAGAGATAGCTGTGTTAGCCTGAGATATCTTGTAGCTGTGGAAGGTGTATATATTCTCATTGGAGTTTTTCATTTGCCCTCCAACTTCTGGGACTGAGCTGGAGCATAGTGAGTAGAGTCCCTCCTAGACCAGACCATCAGGGAATGACTCACCAGCCTGGAAAAATTCTTTCCTCCAGTCTGAAAAAAACATAAATATTCATTATTGGCACAAGAGGTAATTTCTTCCCTCTAATCCTTATTTTGTTAATGTTTCAAATTTATTTGGTAACTTTTGCTTGACCCAAAATTTCTACTGCTCTTCTTGTTAAATATTCCCATAAGAATGAATTCCTCTAACTTGTACTTTATGTGGTATAGACTAGAGATGTTCCCAAGATAGTTATCCTCTTCTTGAACAGGCAGTGAAATTTAGAGTTTTAAATGTCTGATATAGAAAAGGAGAATTATCTTAAACCAATAAACTAAGCTTCTTGAAGAGACTAAAAAGTGAAGAGTAAACTGAGCTTGAAGCAATTGAAAGTAAGAAAATAATAAAATTATATTAGAAATCAATGAAAAAATCTCTGTCTAATATTGACCTTCTCAGTTAAATAAATGTTCCTTCTTAGAAAAGTCAGCATAGTTTACTGCTCAATAAGAAACACGGGCACTTCCATTTTTTAATGTTTATTTATTATTTTTGAGAGAGAGAGAGCATGAACAGGGGAGACACGGAATCTGAAGCAGGCTCCAGAGTCTGCACTGTCAGCACAGAGCCCAATGCGGGGCTCAAACTCACAAACCAGAAGATCATGACCTGAGCAGAAGTCAGATACCGAACCAACTGAGCCACCCAGGTGCCCCCAGGCACTTGTTTTGATGAGCACTGAGTATTTTACATCAGTGTTGAATCACTAAATTGTACACCTAAAACTAACATTATACCATAGGTGTACAAACTGGAATTTAAATAAAAAATTTTAAAGAAAAAGGCAAAAATAAAGAAGTAAATAAATAAAGCCACAACAATCAACACACACACACACACACACACACCCACACAAAAGAGGGTTTTGCAGGAGAGGACATCATTATTGAGCTCTTAGAAATTAGAAGGCTAAAATGGGATTTCTGTGAAAATCCCTATGTCACTAAATTAGCCTTAGATGAAATG